AAGCCATTCATTTTCCGCTGCGTATCCAATCACAGTGGCTGCTAGAGCCTAAAAGATCTAAACATACATGTTCACTTTTCCTTTGTTCAACCTCAAATCAATTCAGATTATTCTGTGAGTAAATGTGAAACTGAATGGAAATGCCTGAAAATGCAAAATTACACCAGCAACGTCTTTTTCACTGTCTGATCACATTTAGCTCAGAAATCGATATCCGTGGACGTCTGGTGTTTGGTAGGGCTGCTCAGAGACACAATAATGTCCGCCTTTCTGCAATTCAAAAACCCTCCAAATCACCGAGGACTCTCGAATATGTGATTACATTAAAATTTTACCGATGAACTCTGTCGAGAAAAAATAAGCACAGACCGATGGCGTCTGCCTGCTGCTTGTCTCTCAGCCTCTGTTGCATTCACATCTTTCACAGGCTAAAGTGCTTCAGTCATTCATGAAAATTGCTGGAGCGAGATGTGAGGGAGAGGAAGGAAAGTGGGAGGTGGGAGCTGCGACCAAAAAAAAAAGAAGCTCTCTCACTACCCTCCATTCATTATTCTTCCATTGTGTATCTCACTGTATGCATTTTCTGTCCTCTGTCATCCTCATCACTTCTCCACCTTTCCCTCCATCTTTTTGTCACTGCTGCTTGTAATTCTTCTTTTTTTTGGGGGGGGGGGACTAGGGAGGAGGAAGAGTGGTGAGTTACCATGGCAACAGCAAGCTGGCTGAGAGCTACCTGTTCTCTGGCATAGGAGGAGGAGGAGGAGGGAAAAAAGCAAGAGACGGAGTGTAAAAGAGACAGAGGGATGGTGACAAGTTGGATAAGTCTGACGATATCTTATTTTTTTCTCATTTTATCCAAATCTGATAACAAGACCAAAACAAATCAGTGAGAAGCCCTGAGAACAGCTGTTTTACATGCATCCACATGGCCTTTTCTGACTTATTCTGTTGTGTAGTTGAGCTTCATTTGCGTCTAAAACAAATAACCTTTGCACAGGGTGACACCATAATTCATTACTGCTAATGAGAGCACAGCAGTTTATGTGGCTCAACCCGAAATACACTACAAAAAATGTGTATGCATACTCTGCAAAAAATAGTACCCGAGAAGCATGCTATTTACCCCTGTTGGGGCACTGCTTGCTAAACCTGATCCTGTTCATTTAATGAAACCACAGACAGGCTTGATGGAAGGAAAAGAAGGAAAACAGAAGGAGAAATGTCAGTCTTATACTCAAAGTTCTTTGCTCTTCCTCTCGGTGTGAAGGAAGTGAATACCCACCAAGTACAACGCCACAGGCATGCATCATTATACCTGACCTTCTCCTCCTCTACACAGTGGGTGAGGTGAGGTGGGTGAGGAGAAATGGAGAAAGAGATATTTAACTATAGATGGATATGCGCAAGAATGAGGAGAGAGGCATCCAGTGACGAAGCAGTTGCTATGCCAAAAAACCAGGAGGACCACACATGCATGCAAAGACACATACACACACACACAAACGTAGGAAAAGTAAACAAGGAGGAGGCTGAGTGGAAGCAGGAGTGTCAGAACAATGTTGCTGAGGGTGACCACAGCATACTAACAGCTCTGACAGCACACACACACACACACAGGCAATGCACACAAGCAGAGCTGACTGCCAGAGATGGGCGAGCGCGATAGAGAATGTGATCATAGGAAGAAAATGTCCTCGATGTCAAGTCTTGTTTCTGCAGCATTTTCTCCCTCAAAGCTACAGGGAATCTGTCCACATCGTGCAGCGTCACCTGAGTTGTGGCTTCTGGCATTAACATGCGAGCTGATGCTGAAGCTTTCCCACTGTTTTTAATAACACTCTGCATCTGTTCTCTTCTCAAATCACTCCCAATTATTTCTTCATGACCTAAAGAGAATTTAATAAGGGGCTGGGGGTGAAACGTCTTCACCCGGTGATCTTATGCCACGGATTCTCTCGGCGCTTCACTGGAAGACTTCACCTGAAAACGTTTCCTTACACCTGTGTTATGAAATGGCTTTGTCTATGCCAATCTCATGAGTCAAGGAATCAAGTTTAATGTGTGGACTGGATGTGGTGCAAATACATTTCCAAAAGGTGACTGATGTTTCCCATGCTGAGTACTTTACATCAGCTGTAGGAACACAACAAGCTTTTAACTCTGAATTATCAAAAGAGCAAGCCCGGCATGAGGCACACACACGGTGCTGTGCAAAACTCTCAAACCACTCCTGATTTCTTGAAAATCTTTTGTTCCCAAGCAGCCAGAGTGTCAAGATCCTGGGTCACTGAGTTTTTAGACTTTACAGTTTGGTTTTATTTTTAACATCTTTCAGTGATTCTTAGTTTGTGCTGTTATTTGCCTTGAGTTTTCCTTTTCCTTATTTCTCACTAATGTTTTTGGTATATTGGTCTTTATGTATTTTCTCAGTTAGTTAATTCATGTCTGTGTTTTCATGTTTAGTCATCTCATTTCACTTCCTGTCTTATTTTGGCCATTATTTGTCCTCTGTGCCTGATGTTCAGTTTTACTTCCCCTCGTCTTGTTTCCTTGATTGTCTGCACCTGTGTTGTTCCCCTCAGGTGTGATCACGTACTTGTGTAGCTTCAGTTTTCCCTTTTTCTTTGTTGGTGGGTTATTTAATTCTGTTTCCCATCAGTTTGTTTTCCTGCTTTTCCCTGGACTCCCAGGGTTGTCATTATCACCTGTTGGACTCTTTTGGACTGTAGCACATGACTGGTCTGTATTTGGGAGTCCACTGCCACACTCTTCAACATCACAAAGACTGTCTTGTAATTTTATTTTTAAAGTGGTCCTGAGCAATAGTATTCCAGGACTAAAACGATCTATAGCAGATAAACAGTATCTGGAAGTTTTGTCCTTAAGAAATGGGAAAAAGATCCAGTAAAGACCTGCCACGGGAGCTGGGAGATTTATCTGGTCTTTCAGCTGATCACTGGACCCTCATCAGGAATGGTCTCAGTTGAAGGGTGGCTGTCAAGAAACCATTTTTAATGAAGGGAAACATGGAGAAAAGACTGAGGTAAGAAAATTACACAAGAACTGGACTTGTGTAATTTCATTGACAACAAATCTTATGGAGTGATGCAATCCATATTTAAAACCTTTACTTCCAATTATCGTCTGTATGCATGGAGCAGGTCAGGAGAGAGGTGCAACAGCGAGAGTCTGCAGCCATGTATAAAACATGGTGGAGGCTCTGTCATGGTTGCATTTCAGCCAGTCGTGTTGGAGAGGTTGTCATAACTAATTGAATTATGAATGCTGTCATGGACTCGCCTCCCCTTTTTAGATGGTTTGGACATGTGCAAAGGAGAGATAGTGGGTATCCTGGACAAAGCATTTTGAGTATGGAGTAGCCATTTGGAAAAATACAGATGACCAGAGAGGAGGGGTAGGGTGAGATGGAGGAATATGATCCACTGTGGCAACTCGTAGAGGTAGCAGCTGAAAAGGGACAAACAAGACACTATGAGGACTGTCAAAGACGACCATGCACCATGTGGAAGAGGTATCTGCCAAATTTGTTGAGCAAGATTAATATTAGCACTGTTTTTCAGCCTGGAGCTTCTTCTTTGGAGGAAGACAAGATTGTGTTGCTTTTCCAGCACGCATTTAATACACAACCACAAAGAAGCTAAAGCCAAATTGGACTGATGTGACCTCCAAAGGGATGAAAATTCAGATTTACCGCATGTTGTAGCTTTCCTTGAGTCTGATTTGCCATGACTCTCACTTTTACAGCTGTCACACAACTCCTTTGAGAACAGCACAGGTGACAGTGAAGACCCTCACAAAGCCAGGATTCTAAAACCAACAGTGTTGTTGTTTTACTGCTCACAGAAACCATCTTTATTTGGAGATAAAATCATTTCTATTCTCAACATGACAGGAGCCATCTGAAAGCTGCCCAATGGTCATTCATTTCCAATAGAATCTCATATTCAGGCTTAATCTATTTAATTTTGAATTATTTTTCAGTGAAATTTCATATTGAAGCCATAAATTCTAATAAATGCGAAAAAGGCTCAAAGGCACCTGGCTGCACCAATCAACAAGCATCTCGGCACATCTCTCATCAGCCCAGATAATTAACCTCAGTCTAACCCCTCTACTCAATAAGCATCTGACATCTTCGACAAGGCTCCAACTAATGGCATTTTCCATTATTATATGATTATTTGACTAACAGGTATGCTTAGGGGTGTCTATCTTCCATCTATGGCTCAAAGTTGAGTTTTCGAGTTGGCTAAATGACAACCAGAACCCCAAAGATGCTCAATGCTCACATTTGAGAAGTTGAAACTAAAGTGTGTTTGCCTTTTTTTTTTTTTTTAAATGAATGACCCAAACTCTGCTGATTATGAATCACGAATCACTTGAGCGCTTCTTTAAAATGAGCACAACTTGAGCTGTTGACCATCTCACAGCTGGACTGGAAACATTAGCACTCATTTACAGACTGGATGCCAATCGTCTCTGTGTTTACACGTACCCATTAAAACACAGCAAACTCGGGATCACTCTGGTCCAGCCAATGAAACATTCATGTGTTCCCTCAGAGGTACTGTAGCTGTGCCAGTCCAAAAACTTCTAAGAAAGATCAAGGAAGTATCACACTTTCTATGCTGACTTTGTCCGCAATTTTCATGCAGCACTACCTCTGTAATGCTGTCGCCATGAAAACATCCTGGAGGCTCAGCTGACTCAGATGCATGTGTCAAAGTAATGACTTTCAATCAGTTGCATACACTCACCTTTCCTGTCAGTTCACCACAGTGTTGTTGAGAAACACAGCAAGAAATAGACTTCAGAAATACTCCCATTGCCTTATAAGTGCACCTTCACATTGCAGTTTCAACAAAATTCTTAATTTGTAAATTTATTTGGTCATTTAAGACTGCATCAAATATACTGACAGCATTAGCAATTGTAACCACACCTGATCTTAGACTATTTTGGGCATTTCGTTTTTGTACCTGTGACGTCGAGTGGTAAGAAGTGTGCCGGTGTGCGTCTTCCCAGGTGCCAGCGAGGTTTTTCGGCGACTGGCGGTCCAGTAGTGGCCGACGTGGCAGTACTGCTGCTACTGTTGTTACTGCTCCAGCCTAGAGGGGGCCGGTCTGAGCTGCAGGGGGATGGAGACGGGGATGGAGATAGGTCGGTAACAGACCTCAGACCAAACACAGAGGAGGTGGTTTCATCTTCGTAGAGCTGCTTTGATGCTGGCTGCAAGAAGAAGCAGAAAGGGAAAACCGCTATGTCATCAAATAGTGATGCACAGTTTGATATACTGAAGTCGAGAATGGTTGAAAGGGTCTGATTTCCCCAGGAAGATATATATATAACCTTTTAGAAAGTACTGTCGAAAGTATTTTTACGTCTTGATTTCTTAGTTTTTTACATATTTGACACTTTAAAAAGCCATTTTACCCACTCTCTTTCTTATTTTTGAATCATGAACTTCTTTAGATGTTGTTCTGGGTTCATTTGTGACCTCCTGGATGAGTCGTCCATGTTCTTTTGGAGTGATTTTGGCAGAATTATCACTTATTTTTAGTTGGGTTATGTTTGTTTAGCATTAAAACATGCCATATAGGTGTTAAACCTTGGTTATTTGGATGGACATGTGCAGATGAAAGATCAGTATTTGATCAAAATTGTTCTGACAGCTGGAAAGAAAGCGATTGCAAGAATTGGTGTTCTATTATTTAGCTTCATGTGCAAACTAAATAAAAAGCTATTTAAAAAATAAAACATGCCACATAACATGGAAAAAAACAAAGAAATCAGAAAGGGGGCAAATACTCTTTTTTAGTACTGTAAATATAAATATGGAGCCGGCATATTTATTTATTTATCCATTTATTAACCACTTGTTACTGGTTCTCATAATCACCTTGATGAACAGTAGGGCTGTATCTACTGTGGAATTATGGGCTGAAAAAAATCGTATATTATATTACATACAGTACCAGTCAAAATGCTGGACATGTTCAAATTACATCACACTACCTTCGAACAGTTAGTCGCTATAAGCTGATGTAATGAAATAGATAAATGCAACTGTGAGTAGATGTCACATCATTTGGCAATAAGCTTACATCAGTCAACAATGCCAACATGTTCAGACACTATATTTGTGCATCCTTCATAAATGACCGTTAGCTTTTACATTTACACGTCCAGGAGTTAAAGTGAAATAGATATGTATTCATTTGGAGGTGTGAAATTAAAGTCTCATAAACTTGTTTTTACTCTGTTTGGTCGAACAACCTGACAACATGTTACTAGGCAGGTAGTGTAAAGTTGACCTGTTCATTACATGATGAACTTTGTATGAATCCCAGCTCAAAATAATCCTTATTTGTCACTTTATTTGTCACGAGGTGTGACTGGGTGTAGCTCTTCAGCTCATCTGTTGTTTTAGGCCAACTTTATTCTGATTGGTTGCCTCTGTTTAATGGAAGGCTTGAATACATGGCTAAATAATGGTTACTCATTTTCATACAAATTGAATGTTGGAGGCTAAAGGCTTTACTTTTTAATAAAAACAAAACAAAACGTGAGTGTTTCTCATGTAGAAAAAAAAATCATAGATTCTGCACTCAGTGAGATTATTTGAAAAATGTTTCAAGGCTACCTACAGAGTAAAAGAAAATCTAACATGCTGCTTGAAATCCAAATAATTTTAGTCAGTTTCTTTAGTGAAATCCAAAATATTGTCTTCCCCTTCAGTCATGGTAATGCATCCTGAGATCCAATGGTTCAAATCTAATTTCCTCACTACAAGATCTCCATTTCTCTCATATTGTACTACACTCTCAAACTCTTTAAAAGTTATTGTTCTCATTTTCTGCCCAAGCTGTTTTGAAAATTAGCCAATAAAGCCCTTTTCCCCTTTAAACTGCTGTTACTGGCTCAAACACACAAGAAAAACAAAATAACCTCAGAATTCAATTTGCAGTAAAAATCAATAGAACCAAAATCCTATAGGAGTCCAGACAGCCGGCGGAGGTCATCTACTCATCAACCTCCTCCAAAATTAAATGTTTTGTCCCCTTTAAGCAACTTCAATGCCTGTAAGAGGAAGGATCAGTAGGGTAGATAAGCAGACAGCAGGGTTACAAAACAGAGAACGAGAGAAAATGCTGTCTCATTTTCACCTGTCTCATAAAACTGAGAGAGCTAATGCAGAGGAGCGACAGAAGTGAATCTGAAGTGAGTTAGAAACATAAAAAAGAAAAACATTGATTTGACGTGATTAGCTGACAGGGATGGAAACTGACAGAGCAGCAGAGACACTGTTCGTTCTGTCCCTGATGGCAACAGGAAGGTGCAATCCCAGCTGTGAGGGAACGGGCATCTGTCAACTGTCTGCCATTAGATCTACAGTATCAGGCATCTCTGCCCTTAAGCAAGGCAATGAAACTGTCGAAGCTGCTGCAATGCAGGAAACACTCCAGTCTATCCTCCGCCTCGTGAGAGACGTAAAGCTATCTCGTGGGAATCTGCCATTCTCTAATTGAAATTAGCCCAAACAGAGAGAAAGGCATTAAGTTAAGAGCGCTCTTTAGCAGCTCGCTGAAGGAATATTGCGTCAGTCGGTGTGCAGGAAATGTGCAGCCATCTTGCAGTAAAATCACGGTGGGAGTTCAATGAGCTGGGGAAATAGACTGAGAAGTACTAATGGAAAAGGGAAAGAGTGAAAAGAGAGAGGCTCTATGTATAGCTGTAGCCTGTTTGACAAATTGTGATCATAGATTATCATTGAGACACCCTGAAGCAATTTAACATCTATGTTTGCATTCCTTTTCTCGCCTTCAAAAATCAGTCAGTAAGTCCTCAATGTGCAGGCGCCGGCTGACAAGAAAGCACTTACGTCACATGCTATTTTGATTTCTTAGCGAGTGCTAATGATACTTCCATCTGGAAGACACTAAATGGTTTGGCATTTGTTTGTAGAAACCTGCTGAGAGTGTGAAAAGGACGATGACTAATCCTGAGAAATCTGAATGAGGGGGCGGGATATACTGTGCAACAGTTCTCGGATAATTCGGCTTCATGGGAAAAAAATAAAGGGATGATGACAACAGCAGTGAAGCATTTTGTCACAACACAACTTTTAGCTGTAAAACCGTCTGATATGCCGAAGCAGTAATTTGTTGGAATAGTGCATTGTGTCGCCGATTTGCTGAATTAAGCTGTCCAACGGCCAATTAGAAGACATGCTCATTCCGAACTTCAAGTTACAATCATTAATAGAAAAGGATGGAGTCTTTATTATCAGTCCTCATTGAGCGGAGCAAATCTGCATCAGTGATCAGTCAAGTACAAACAACGCGCAGAAGTTCAAATAATACAGAGGCAATACACACACAAGCACGGACATGTAAATGTGAACAGAGACACAGCAATTAGAAGATGCCAAACGCAGACTGAGTTTCCATTTGGCATGTCATACTATAACAAAAAGAGAAATTAAAGACTTTTAGGAGCCTTAATGCCACTAATGGCTAAAACATAAAAACAGGATGGCAACCTATGTTCAACTAGGAAAAACTAGTAGTTGTTCAGGAACTGCATTGAATTTTTTGTTGCCAGTGAATGATTGCAAGCATTTGCGACAGTGGCTGTCAGCCCGTGGGCGCACCCTGATTCCAATCAGTCACAACCTTGGAAAGAGTTTCATCCCATCCAAAGGTGACGATACAACCAATCATTTGCCAGATAGTTAGGAGACCTGTTGTATACAGTATACTGTATACAACAGGTCGAAATATCAGCTACCAAGTTGCGTCAATGACTTGTGTGGACATTCAGGACAACTGTGTAGATCCATAAGAGAAATTCGGTCAACGTGACAAATTTTGTTGGACAAATCTATTCTATAAGAACGTCTTGCTGATACTATGTCTACTATGTCTTCTCTACAGCAAAGCTTCTGCATGAAGCTCAGTACAGGACTGGCCTATTGCTTCTTTAGCTAATAACGTTAATCATTTTATTACGCTACCATGTATCTTCCATCTAAGGCCCGCAGACTGTATAACAGATGGATATAGCTGCTGTGAACTATTAGTTTTTGAGGTCCTACTATGAAGAAGTTGTTATTTTTCTGTTTGAATGTTGAGGGTTCGGGATCATTTACCCACAAGTCTCTAAAAAACCAGGAGCTTCTTACAAGCAAAGGAATCACCCCTGCTGGTGAGAAGAAGACTGCTTTGGCTTCCCATTTCACATTCAGAAACTACAATCGTCATTTATACTGCCTTTGCTTGGGTCATTGGCCTTATTATGGATCTTACTCAGATAGGAACTGTCAAAATTTGACACTCCCTTAGCAGGACAATACTACAGAAGAACATGACAAAAAGGCTCCCAGTCTGATCAAGCATGCACAGATGTGCTGTCTGATGAATGGAGGCTCTATCCTGTAACCCAAAGGACATAAAGACTCCACTGCCAAAGTACTGGTGCAGGCTCAGAACACCACCAGAGGTGCCACGTCCATACCCCAGCAGCTAGCTGTTTTGGCAGCATGAAGAAAAACCTACACACACTTATGTAGGTGGTTTTAACGTTGTGGCTAATCTGCACATCTCAGATCTTGCACCACAAAGCTAACTCCCAGAGCAACAACAAAAGGTCCTGCATAAAAAGCACAACCCCAGAAAGAAAAAACAATAAACTAAATAAAAAGCTGTTGCTAGAAAAACGCTCACCATTTTCATATTTTGAAAAAGTCTTGATGATTACAATTTTATTTATAGCCGCACTCTCAAGGTCGATAAATCAAATTAAAATGATGATTCCAGTGAGCATGAAATGGCAAGATACACAAGATTTAATCAAAGGAATGGGCTTTTGTGGGATATTGTATCGAGGATGATCGAAAAATAATGAAATGGAGAAAAGAGATTTATACTGCCTATAATTTTATTGTAAAGGGGGAAGAGCCTTTAAGATGAGGCAGGTAACATAAAATGAATATCAAGCACTGATTGGAAACAATAAAGAAATAATAAAGAGTGCAAACAGGACCACAAAAGGGCGGATGGAGTCGGGTGGAGTAGGTTAGCAGGAGTTTAGCGGGAATGTGAAGTCTGGTGTCTTGCTGTTCTGAGAGAAAAATGAAGATGATAAGTGAAGTGGACACAGTGTATGTGTGTGTGTGTCTGTGTGTGTGCATTTAGCAGAAGCAGGATGAAGTCAGGTTTCACAGGTTTAAGAGGTGGGAAAAAGAGCGAGTGTAAAATAGGAAAGGTGGAGATTATTTATTGCGTTTGCTTGTTAAAGATGTGCAGCTTCAAATAGCTGCATATAAAATCTGAGCTTGGGTGTTTGTTCAGCAGAGAGGTGACATTTTGGTGTGACGGAGCCTCCTGATCAAATAAGATGGGTGTAAACATGAGCCTGCATGCGTGCGTCTGTGTGTGTTTACCAGAAAGATGAAGTCGGGCCTCTTGTTGTTGAGGGAGATGGGCGATCGGCTGAGGGAGGTGGACGTGTCGTCGGAGCTCTGTGAGGACGGATGCCGGAAAGTCTGACCGGTCAGCTTGGTGTCGTACAACTGCTCCTCAAACTCTGAAAACACAGAAGAGCAAAAATAACAAAAAGATATAAATGCATGCATAAACTTGCTTTCTGCTGCATGCATGCATGCAACTAAACTAAATCTTATTTGCATGGTTGAAAGTGGAGATCAGGAACGGCTGCTGCTTTGCATCAACCTGCAATCTCCCTCCTGTGACTCCTGGTTCAACTTGTGCCTTAAATGACTCCTTCAGTTTGTATTTAATCCTCCCAAGGGCTCCATCCCTTCCTCTTCTTTCATTTATTCCTTCTCCAAAACTCTCTTTCTTTGTGTTACACGCACTCTCTCGCAGTCTACCTCCAAATATCAGACTGATTCTCCCTCTCCGGCAGCTCCCTCAGGCCATTGTAAACAGATTCCTAAC